GGAAGACTGTCAAAATTGCTTTATTAAAAGCATTTTTTAAAGTTACTTTTTTATTTTTAATTTTTTAAACTTCATTTTATTTTGGGGAGTACATGTGAAAGTTTGTTACATAGGTAAGCTTGTGTCACGGGAGTTTGTTGTACAGATTATTTAATCACCCATACATTAAGCCCAGTGCCCAATAGTTATCTTTTCTGGTTCTCTCCTTCCTCTCACCCTCTACCCTCAAGTAGACCCCAGTGTCTGTTGTTCCCTTCTTTGTCTCCGTAAGTTCTTATCATTTAGCTTCCACTTATAAGTGTGAACATGCAGTATTTGGTTTTCTGTTTCTATGTTTGTTTGCTAAGAATAATAGCCTTCAGTTCCATCCATGTTCCCATGAAAGACATAATCTTGCATAATCTTGTTTTGTATTTTTTTATGGCTGCATAGTATTCCATGGTGTATATGTACCACATTTTCTTTATCTAATCTGCCATTGATAGGCATTTAGGTTGAGACCATGTTTTTACCATTGTGAAGAGTGCTGCAATGAACATTTGCATGCATGTGTCTTTATGATAGAATTATTTATATTACTTTGAGTATATACCCAGTAATGGGGTAGCTGAGTCAAATGGTAGTTCTACTTTTAGCTCCTTGAGTAATCGTCATATGCTTTCCACCATGGTTGAACTAATTTACACTTCCACCAACCCTGTATAAATGTTCCCTTTTCTCCACAACCTCGCCTGCATTGGTTATTTCTTGACTTTTTAGGAGTAGCCATTCTAACTGGTGTGAGATGGTGTCTCATTGTAGTTTTGATTTGCAATTCTCTAGTGATCAGTGATATTGACCTTTTTTTCATATGCTTGTTGGTCACATGTATGCCATCTTTTGAAAAGAGTCTGTTCATGTCCTCTGCCCACATTTTTAATGGGGTCATTTGTTTTCCTCTTGTAAATTTAAACAAAGCTCTTTATAGATTCTGGATATTAGACCTTTGTCAGATACATAGTTTGCGTATATTTTCTCCCATTCTGTAGGTTGTCTGTTTACTCTGTTGATAGTTTATTTTTACTGTGCAGAAGCTTTTTAGTTTAATCAGTACAATTTGTCAATTTCTGGCTTGTTGCAATTGCTTTTGGCATCTTCACCATGAAATCTTTGCCAAAGCCTATGTCCAGATGGTATTTTCTAGGTTGTCTTCCAGGGTTTCTATAGTTGTAGGTTTTACACTTAAGTCCTTAATGCATCTTGAATTCATTTGTGTAAATGGTGGAAGGAAGGAGTACAGCTTCAATTTTCTGCATATAGCTAGCCAGTTATAGCACCATTTATTGAACAGGAAGTTCTTCCTCCATTGCTTGTTTTTGTCAACTTTATCAAAGATCAGATGGTGGTAGGTGTATGGCTTTATTTCTGGACTCTCTTTTCTTCTCAATTGGTCTATGTGCCTGTTTTTGTACCAGTAACATGCTGTTTTAATTACTGTAGCCTTGTAATATGCTTTGAAGTCAGGTAACTTAATTCCTCCAGGTTTGTTCTTCCCACTTAGCATTGCCTTGACTATTTGAGCTGAATTTTGGTTTCATATAAGTTTTAAAATTGTTTTTCTAATTCTGTGAAGAATGGCATTGGTAATTTGAGAGGAATAACCCTGGATCTGTAAAGTGCTTTGGGCAGTATGACCATTTGAACGATATTAATTCTTCCTATCCATGAGCGTGGAATATTTTTCCATATGGTTGTGTCATCTCCGATCTCTTTGAGCAGCGTTTTGTAATTCTTGTTGTAAAGATCTTTCACCTTTCTGGTTAGCTGTATTCCTAAGTATTTTATTCTTTTTATGGCAATTGTGAATGGGATTGCCTTTCTGATTTGACTCTTGGTTTGGCTGTTGTTGTTGTGTAGGAATGCCAGTGATTTTTGTAAGTTGATTTTGTGTCCTGAAACTTTGCTGTAGTTGTTTATCAGCTGAAGGAGCTTTTGGGCCAAGGCTATGGGGTTTTCTGCCTTTTGCAGTGGCATGTTTAAACCTCGAGGACACTATCCTAGGTGAAATAAGTGAGATGCAGAAAGACAAGTACTGCATGATCTCCCTCATATGTGGACTCTAATGAAAAGTCGAACTCATAGAAAGAGAACAGAATGGTGATTACCAAGGGTTTAGGGGTGAGGAGAGAGGGAGATATTGGTCAAGTGGTACAAACATTCAACTGTAAGAGGAATGAGTTCTGGAGACCTCATGTGCAGCATGGTGACTATAGTTAATAATAATATATTGTATACTTGAAGTTCGCCGAGGGAGTAGATCGCAGGTGTTCTCACCATAAAAAAAAAAAGTAACTATATGAGGGGATGAATATGTTAATTAGCTTGATTGTGGTAATCATTTTGCTATCTGTCTATTTAAGCATCACATGTGCACCCTCTAAACAAGTTTTTATTTGTTAATTATACTTCAATAAAGCTGGAAACAAACAAAAACCCTGCAACTACTGCTCCCCAAAAGACCATAGAAATCTCAAAATGAAAGAAAAATAAAAAGATGGAAATATTTGAAGAAATTATAGAGATACATTTTCTAAAATTAAAGGAAGACAAAAGACCTCAGGTAAAAGATTTGGTATCAATAAGCTATGCTACATAAGAAATAGCCTCAAAACTGATAGCATGCAGCAGTGAGGAGTTACTCCTCCTTGAAAAGTATGCAAAGTAACAGGAGCAGCTCTCTGAATATGTTCAGAGAAAGCCCAGATCAAAAATTTCTAAGTAATATCAACATGATGGTGTGTGTGTGCATGTGTGTGTGTGCATGTGAGTGTGCATTCTTGTGAAAGCCAGAGGGGCATGAAAGTGTTAGGGGTATATGATTTGGATCTTTTACCTAATTATCAACCACCACCACATACTTCTCCAAAGTCTAAAGCCTAGAAATACTGCTTTGCTTCAGTGAATGTGTGTGTATCAGTCAGCTATTGGCCCAGAAGTGCTGCATAACAAACCACCCCTACCCTGTAGCTAACCACAGTGAGCCTTCATTTTCAGGCACATAGGTCTACAGGCTGACTGCCCCTTGGCTGGTCCAGGAGGCTTGGCTTTACTTCAGGGTGTCACAGCTGGCCTCACCAAGGGAAAGTCTGCTCTACATGCATCCTGGGGCCCAGATCAGGTGTTCCTCGACTCAGTGAGTCTCTATGAAAACATGGTTAACCCTGACAAATAATATAAATGGTACAAATCAAATCAACGGAACATAATCATCTATCCCATGAAGAAAGGCTCGACTGAAGGCAAAGATATGAAGAAGCAGGGATTGTCACAGGTCAATACTTCTCTAATCAAACTGGGATCTGAATATTAGCAGCATTTGGATCACATGGGAGCTAGTTAGAAATGCAGAATCTAGGCCTTGCCTCAGACCCACAAACTCAGCACCTGCCTTTTAACAAGAGTCCCAGGTGGTTCATGTGCACATTAATATCAGGAAGTTGTAGATCCACTACACTGATTTTCAAACTTGGCTGCAGATTGGAACCCCTGGGGAACTTTAAAAACAGCTGGCTTCCTGGACCCTGTTCAAGAGATTCTGATTTTATCAGTGAGGTATGCTCTGGTGTTTTAAATCTTCATCAGTACCTTTAACATGCAACAGGATTTGAAAATCATGAATACATAATTAGGAAGTGATGAACATTTTGGCAATAAATAATAAATTTAAATTTGCCTAAAGCTTTGTATCAATTTTCCATCTAGTCTTTTATTACACAAAAGTACTTGTGTAACATCATGAAGATATTGGAAAGGGATTGTTCACTGCAGTACTGTTTGTAACAGCTGAAAATGAGAAACATCTGAATAATCCACTCATAGGGAAAAAGTTTAAATACAGCATAATGCATTTGCACTCTGCAATGCTTTGCCACTTGCCTCACAGATTCCTGCCCGTATGTATTTTCTGTATGTTGCCCTGGCTCATAGAACCCATTGATCTTTGAAGCCTAGGAAGAATGCTCATCTCTCTGCCTCACCAGGAACTTTCTGGACACTGATTTGGGATTTTCACAGAAAAGCAGAAGCTTTGAGAGCTTAACAGGTGCATGCCCCCCTCCTCCCACTAAGGGCCAGACCTGGGCATCAGAGTGGGCCATGTGACTCTCACCCTGGCAGGACAGGGCAGGGGGGTACTGTTGGCCCAAGTCAAGGGAGTTCAGAGGCCAGGCATTCAGGAAGCCAGACTCATTGGCACAGGTAAGCAGAAGATGCCAGAGGGGCCCTGTATTAGTCAGGGTTCTTTTAAAGGGACAGAACGAATAGGATATACATATATATATATATATGTATATATATGCATATATATGTATATATAGTTAATACTTAATAAACTCCCCTTTATATATGTATAAACAATATATATATAAATAATATATATATATATAAGGGAGTTTATTAACTATTAACTTACATGATCACAAGGCCCCACTATAGGCTGTCTGCCAAACTGAGGAGCAAGGGGAGCCAGTCCGAGTCCCAAAACTGAAGAACTTGGAGTCTGATGTTCGAGGGCAGGAAGTATCTAGCATGGGAGATAGATGTAGACTAGGAGGCTAGGCCCGTCGTCTCTCCTTTTCACATTTTTCTGCCTGCTTTATATTCGCTGGCAGCTGATTAGATTGTGCCCACCAGATTAAGGGTGGGTCTGCCTTTCCCAGCCCACTGACTCAAATGTCAATCTCTTTTGGAAACACTCTCACAGACACACCCAGGATCAATACTTTGTGTCCTTCAATCCAATCAAGTTGACACTCAGTATTAACCATTGCAGGCGCCCGACTCTGAGGGCAGAGCAGGAGGCATTTGCCTGCTCTCTGTGCCCCTGTGAGAGCTGTTTAGACCAAAGGCCTGAGGCTGGCAAGTGGGAGGTGTCCTCACTGGGACAGGACACAGGTGCTGAATTACATCACAAAGTGTAACCTCTCTGCAGGGCGTGGACTCAGAAGGGCAAGAGAGACTGGAGACCAGGACCCACAGAGACCCTTGACTGGGCCACAGGCATGAACTAAGAGTGCCAAAGACCCAGGAGAACCACAGGTCAGGTCGTCACCCAACCCCACAGGGAGTAAGAGGGAGCTGCAGGCAGAGCAGGCTGAAAGTCCACCAAGGGCTGAGGCCACAAGGCCTCTGAGGCAGCCACAGTTTTCATGATCACACCGCACAGGACTGAGAAGCAGATAACAAGAGTGACGTGCGCAGGGGTAGGCATAGACACATCGGGGCCTAAGGGGAGAGGAGCTCTCCCTAGAAACACAGATTGCTCTCAGGATAAGGAGGGGAGGCTGGTAGAGAGACCCCTTAACTGGCATTCCTGGGTGGGTTTCCTTGGAGAAAGAGAGGGCTAACCCCAAGAATGATCCTAATGGCCCTGTCTTGAATACAGCTAGGCTGACGCTAACAGGAGGCAGTGTGTGGCTCGAAGATTCTTGAATCCAAAGCAGCAGCCGCGGCCACCCCATCCTGCCCACAGCTCCAGCCCTGAAAGGACGAGGAGACTTGACTGTACCTCTTGCCCAAGGGACCATGCCCAGGTGCCGGTGGCTCTCCCTGCTCCTCCTCACCATTCCCCTGGCCCTGGTGGCCAGGAAAGATTCAAACAAGAATGAGATGGTGGTGTTGAGGAAATTAAAACCCGTCAATGCCTCAAATGCCAACGTAAAGCAGTGTCTGTGGTTTGCCATGCAAGAATACAACGAAGAGAGCGAGGACAAGTATGTGTTCCTGGTGGTCAAGACGCTACAAGCCCAGCTGCAGGTAAATGTGTCTCTCCATATAGGTTGACATTTTCATGTGGCGGCACAGTTGAAGTCAGACTGAAAGAGTGGCCATATGAGAAAAATATCCGTATGCAAAAATCCTAAATATGTGAATGCTTAACAGCGTAGACACTTCCACAGCATCAATAAGGCAGTGAACAGACAGAGCGCCTTCCACAAATGCTTGGGCTGTTGTTCTAAGTCCTTTGCATAGACTAACTCGTTTAAACCCCAAACTTCTAATCAAATGTTCATGTATTTGCTAAGGTTGGGAGACAAATAGAGCGCTAGCCATGAGAAAAGATCTGATAAAGAAAGGTGAGTCCAGGTGAATCCAGACCCAACTAGCAGACACTCCTTCATCTCCTGCTGTAATCCTTTAATGCCAGATGCAAACAGATTTAAGTGGGCATCACAAGTAGCCTTGATTGCATTCAGTCACTAATGAATTCAACAAATACTAATGTCCTGCTATAAACCTACTGCTGTTCTACTCACTAAAGACTCAGCAGACAACAAGACAGGCAAACTCATGCCTGCATGGGTCCTTATGGACTGTGTGCTGAGCTGGTGGGAGGGGCTTTGGGTGGGGAAACCCTAGAGGGTGGGAGGTTTCACTGGAATCTGGGGGACTGGGGCCTAATGTGGCTGAGGGGGCTGTCCCCTGGTCGGGCCTGTGTGAACCTGAGCATCTCAGGCCCAGGAGAGCTGATGGTTCTGGAGAGCCCGCCTTTCTCCTCTCAGTCCTCACTGAGCATGCAGCATGCCCTGGGCTTGGGGACAGGAAATGGAATGAGAAGGCCTTGCCTTCAAGGAGGTGACAAGCTGGAGAGGAGCCTTTACCCAAGTGTCCGGCTCCCTTAGGCTATGGAGTGCTGACTGGTCTTGGTGTGCACAGGGCTCCAGGCAGTGGGCATCTTAGCCTTCCGCTAAAGCTCTGTCGTGGGGTGAGGGAGGAAGGAAAGTGGAAAGGATGAGAGTGAGAATAATTTTTTTTTTTTTGCCAAAACTTTAAAAAAAATACAACTTTTTTGAATAAAATTGCATAACTGCTAACCAACAGGTCACAAATTGTCTGGAATACCTTATTGATGTAGAAATTGCCCGCAGCGATTGCAGAAAGCCTTTCAGCACTAATGAAATCTGTGCCATTCAAGAAAACCCCAAGCTGAAAAAGGTAGGTGGTGGATCACCTGTCCGTGATGGCCTGGGGAGCTCTGAGCCCAAGAGAGAAAGCTGAGGCATGCAGATCTTCTCTTTGAGGTCTGGGTGGCTCCCAATGTTTAGCCCCAGGTAGCCAACCCTGTGGCCTTTAGAGCAGAGGATCCAGGGCCACAGAATGTGGCAGAACTCTCTGAGCTTCTTTCTCATCCTTCATCCTGCAGAAAGGATGTTGTCAAGACCACTGTTATCTCAAGGGCTCCATTGACTTCTGGTCTTGTGATGCAGGCACACCGGACAACACATAATCACCAAAAGCCTGTCCTATTGGGTCCAGACCAGCCACCTGCTATTGCTGGGCCCACAGTCCCTCATCCTTGTGCAGACAGAAAAGGAATTTCATTCATTCACTCATCCACTCATAGAAACTTACTGAGCACCAGGTGCTGCGTGCTTTGCACCAGGTCTATTCTGGGTGCTGAAGATTAAGCGATGACTAAGCCAGATGGTGGCTCCACCCTCCTGGGTTTACAGCTGATTTTTGCTGGGGTCAGCCCAGGTTTCCAGGAAGGCTGGGGCAAACCCAAAGACTCCCAACAAAAGGAGGACTTGGCCCAGGGGCTTTTGGCTTCAAGCCTGTATCTTTTTATCTTAGATCAGCTCATATGCCAGTACTTGGTCCCAGACTGATGAAGGCCTGAGCATTCTGCAGGTTTGCCCAACAGGTGCATCACTGCCCCTGTCTTTACATTAGTGGTTCTCCAATGTGAGCAGGCGTCACAATCACTTGGAGGTATTGACAGACCCTGATGACTGGGTTCCACCTGCAGAGTTTCCAATTCAGTAGGTGAGGAAATGGGGTCTGAGAATTTGCGTTCTTAATGAGTTCCCGAGTGGTGCTGCTGCTGCCGCTGCTGGCCTTAGGATCATTTTGAGAACCACTGCTTTATGCACTACCATGGCACAGGAAATTGCAAATATGTTTATGAACTGCTCTGTCACTATGTTTGATGAAAACTGCCTCTGTATGCTCAAATGAAACAAACCCTATCATTTCCGGCTCACAGGATGTCTGTCAGGACAAACATTTCAGCAGTGAGCTTGTCTGAATGCTATCTGATCTTTCAAGCTTGTTTTATCTTTTACTGGTATTAGGAGTATGGTGGTTTTAAATTTATATTTTCTCCTGGGCTTTTAGGGATTGTAGGAAAGTTTTTGCTTTTGGCAGTTTGTAGAAAATATTAAAGTACATTAAAGAAAATTGTTCCCAAGGAGCCCACTTGTGTCTAAGATTTCCATGATATGTCTCAGGTTTTAAACATACATGTTTAAGCAGACATTTGTCAATAATAAAAACTTTCTCTTTTTCCAAGCAGATGCTTTTGGTTTTCCAAATTTGATGTAATCTGCCTATAAAGTCATCTTGATCCAGTACTTTTTATTGCAGATTTTCAATACTCAGCAGGGACTAAACTTTCTTCTTTCTGACTTTGTCTGCCTCTTAACTCCTGGAAGTGCCCCAGTGATTTCAGTCTGTTTGACATGGCCTTTGCAGTTTGTCCAGGACCACCATCTCTCTGCCTCCCCATCTATCTACGCATCCATCCATCCATTCATTATCTGTCACATACACATAGGATATTTTATTTGTCGTTTCAATGATATTTTGAAAGAAAAGCAGAGTTCTTTGGAAGAAAAGATATGTTAGGCCCTAAAATTTTATAAATTGCTCTTGACTTGTTATTAGAACAAAACGGATTTACGAATTTTATTTTAGATTCAAGGGTACACATGCAGGTTTGTTATAAGTAAATTCGTGTCACAGGGGTTTGATATACAGATTATTTCATCACCCAGGTAGTAAGCAGAGTTCCCAATATGGTATTTTTTTCTTATCCTCTCCCTCCCCTGCCCTCTATTCTCCAGGAGGCCCCAGTGTCTGTAATTCCCTCTTTGTGTCTATGTGTTCTCATTGTTTAGCTCCCACTTGTAAGTGTGAACATGTGGTATTTGGTTTTCTGTTTCTGCATTAGTTTGCTTAGGATAATGGTCCGCAGCTCCATTCATATTACTGCAAAGGACATGATCTCATTCTTTTTTATGGCTGTGTAGTATTCCATGGTGTATATGTACTACACTGTTTTTTTAATCCATTTCACCATTGACAGGCATTCAGGCTGACTTGATGTCTTTGCTACTGTGAATAGTGCTGCAATGAACATACATGTGCATGTGTCTTCATGGTAGAACAATTTATATTCCTTTGAGCAGGATTCCTGGGTTGAATGGAAATTCTGTTTTTAGTTCTTTGAGGAATCACCTCACTGCTTTTTACAATGGGTGCACTAATTTACACTCACACCAGCAGTGTATAAGCATTTCCTTTTGTCCACAACCTAGCCAACATTAAAATGGATTATTTAATCAAGAAAATAACATCTTTTAGCTAACAATTAGAATTGTTTTATTTACATTGCATTAAAGAGAATTAAAATAATGTCAAGTTTATATCTGAACTTGCACCACAATGTTAGGATTATTAACATTTCTTGTCTTCCTGTGGTTAAAATAGAACAGAGATCCCTCTGGGAAACTGCTGATGGCTATGAAGTCTGCAGCCTCCAGCTCTGTAGATTCCTGCGAGCATCGCTCGAGGGTGGTGACCCATCTCTCAGCACATTCCTAAACTGACACCTAACAACAGGACAATGGGTTTTCTGTTTTTTTCGCCACTCTACTGATTTTTGTTGTTGTCATCTTTTTCAGAAATTAAGCTGCAGCTTTTTGGTAGGAGCACTTCCCTGGAATGGCGAATTTACTGTGATGGAGAAAAAGTGTGAAGATGCCTAATGGTGTTTTGGGGCATCCGTCCAACCTCCGCGACTACTTGATCCATGAAAATAAAACAGTGGCAGGTGGGAGGCTGTTCCTAATGTGCTTTCTTCATGCATGCCTCTCTGCTTGGTGTTTTGTTTTTCAGTTTCATAGTGTGTGGGGACAGAAGATGGGCATGTCCAGCTCCTCTTTCCTGGCACCGAACATAGCCACGCCCCTTTGGTCAGCTTGATGGTAGACCCACCACCAAGTACAAAGGATAGGGTGAGGCCTGATTCCATTCCCTACAGCAAATCAGAGGAGGAACCCCTTTTGCTTGGGTAACAATCCCTTACAGAGGTCTGCACTCAGTGGGCACCAATTCAGCAGGTTCCATCTGGATGCTTCCTTTGGCCTGAGGCTCTTCCTGTCTAAGAGTCCTGAATGGACAGGTCATTTGGGCTGGGGGACCCCTGTGGCAGAACTAGTAGCCCTCCCCTGTGGGATCTCTATAAATTGGGGGATTTGTGTATCTTTCTATATGTATTAGTCTGTTCTCACACTGCTGATAGACATACCTGATACTGGGTAATTTATAACGATAAGAGGCTTATTTGGCTCACAGTTCCACATGGTTGAGGAAGCCTCATAATCATGGCAGAAGGTGAATGAGGAGCCAAGTCATGTCTACATGGTGGCAGGCAGAGGGCTTGTGCAGGGAAACTCCCATTTATAAAACCATCAGATCTTGTGTGATTTATTCACTACCACAGAAACAGTATGGGGGAAACCACCCCCATGATTCAATTATCTCCAGCTAGCCTTATGCTTGACACGTGGAGATTATTACAATTCAAAGTGAGATTTCAAACCATATTACTGTGTAGGTAAACAATGGTCACAAAGAGAGATGGGTAGTGGCAATAAATCTCGAAGGATAAGCTGTGCTGCATTGTTTGCACGTGTCTGTTTATGGGTGTACATGTGTGCCAGTATGTGTGTGTGCATGTGTGTGTGTTTGTGTGTGTGCGTGTTGTGTGTAGAGAGAGAAGGAGGAGGGAGAGAGGGAAGGGGGACTTGGAGAGGGAAGTAGCCAAACAAGGACAAGAGCAGGAGATAAAATTCTCTTGAAGAAAGTAATTATTAAACAGACGTGTCTAATAGAGAATTATTTAATGGGTGGAGTTTCGTTTTGCAAAATGAAAAGCTCTGGAGGTTGGATGCATGACAATGTGAATAGACAACACTACTGAACTGCACACTCAAAAATAGTTCAGATGGTACATTTTGTATGCATTTTACCATAATTAAAAATTTTTTTAATAGATGTATCTATTTTAAACATGGTGTTGCGTATGACTCAAGAGGCTAATTGTATCTCCAATGTCCATTAGGAGAAACCAGGTTTTATCTCCCATGGCTTGCTGGGTAGGTGGTAGGGATTTCAATATTTCTGCCCCGGACAGGATGAGGCCATGAAACGCCAAGGCCTCAAGCTTCTTTTTCCTCTGGTTCCTCTGACTTAACCAATGTGTGTTTTGGGAGTTGGAGACTCCCGCCCTGCCTTCAGGCAACAGAGACAAGTGGAATTTGCCTTGGAACGCCTCTGCTGTTCCCAGCTGTCTCCTCCCCCTCCTCAGCCCCTGCCTGTGTGCCCCTCCGGTTATGCCCACCCTGCTTCCTCTGCTGAGGCCCCACTCTGCTCACTTGTTTGCCTTCTCAAATCCCCAACTAACAAAGGAACCAGGATTGGGATGTGACACATATTTTATGACTTGAGCTTAATACACATATCCTGATTGAAAGTGCTTCTTTCCTATGTGCTAGGAAGACTCCATAAGAAATTGCCCTCCCGTCCCTCTACCCCAGACACAGGAAGTCATGAGCCATGAGGAACAGCAGACTAGAGAAGACCGCAGCCCAACCTTCCAGGGGCTCCCAGTGGCTGCACGGACTTACAGCTCCATGTGTCTTTTCTGGTTTTCTGGGAAGGGAGTGTCTTAAGAAAGACAGTATTTTTGAAACATCTTGAATTGTCTTTCCTAATAGACAGGTGAGAGGCAGCCTCAAGGACTCAGATGTTGGGAGAAGATAAGGATCAGCAGTGTGTGACCAGCTTGGATGCGGTGCAGTGGGGGTGACGCCCACCTGTGCTGTGTACAGATCAACTTCCTGTATGGCCTAGAGACACATCACGTATATGTGTTTCTATGCACAGGTCTATTTTGAAGTGCATTTCTAGTTATAGTAAAATTTTATTTAATTTTCAACCTGCCTGTCCTAATCTCTTCCTTTCATTTTCCCTCTAAACACTGCCAAACTGAAATAAAATGCAAAACAAGCCTCATTTTTCCTATCCAGCATTTAATGTCTTTTTGCTAATATATTACAGGAGAACACACAACACATGTGCATGCACATGAACTCACTGTCCACCACCTTTCCCTGACTTTTCCAGAAATGAGCCCACTGTCACAGGGCCTGCTGGCTTCTCTTAAAGGTCATGGGGAGCTCTGAATGTCCAGCACTGTCTGGGCCTGAAATGCAGGAGCACTGGGAACACAGGAGACCATGGAGCTTGAGGGGACGGGCAGAGGCAGGCAATTCGTGTGGTCTTGGATGTTGCCCAGGTTCGGGATTCACAAGGGGGGTCTTTGCCCTCTACCTTGCTGTCCTCCTTGCAGGGATGCATGGCCTGTCCACTTGATGACCAGTCATGACCATACTGTGCGTGAGAATAAGCAGGAATTCAGCTGAGGACAATCTTGGGCAGGGCCGTGGGGACCCCGCAGTCTGGTGGGGAGTGAGGTCTGTCTCAGTCTGTTTGTGTTGCGATAAAAGCTTGTTTGTGTTACCTGAGGTGGCTAATTTATAAAGAAGAGGTTTATTTGGCTGACAGTTCTGTAGGCTGAAGAAGCAGCATAGTGCTTCTTGTGCAGGAGAGAGAGAGAACGTGAGAAAGAGAAAGGGGAAGAGTGGGAGGGACAGAGAAAGAGAGAAAGAGAGAGGAGAGGGAGGAGAAGGGGAGAAGGGGAGAAGAGAGACACAGAGAGGAGAAGCAGGGAGGGAGGTGCCAGGCACATTTTAACACTCAATCTTACAGGGGGAAACTCTCTCATTACTCTCTCATGGCACCGAGCCATTCATGAGGGATCTACTCAAGCACCTCCCACCAGACCCCACCGCCAACAGATGGGGATCAAATTTCAACATGAGATTTGGAGGGGACAAACATCCAAACTATATCAAAATGCAAGGTGTTGACCCTGCTGGGACCAGGGGTGAGCTGCCTGCGGACCACAGGGCAGCAGCAGCATGGAGCTCAGAACCACAGACTTGAGAAGGAGCCCGGTGTGCTCTGGTCTCAGAGGACGTGAGTGCTGTCCCAGCCTAGCCGGTTTCTACCTGTAGGGCCTTCACCACCTAATTTAATCCCATCTGCTCACACATGACCTGGGAGAGCGTCAGGACTGCCTGCCTACCAGGGGCCTGTGGAACAAGAGGTAAGAGGGGTGGGTCTGGGAGCAATGTCCCATGTGCGTCCTAGGAGGGGCCCTCCTTCTCCTACATGGTTGGTACACTTAGACCATTAGATGCATTTGTAAAATCTGCAAAAATGTCAGGGACAGACAGTCATTAAGACTTGGGAACAGACGATGCCCCTGAGAGTGTGGGGGTGCGGATGGCAGCCAATCAGCGTCCTCCGCTGATTCTTTCTGGACCTCTGTGTGGTGTGGTGGCTGGACAGAGGGGGTGCAGGTAGGGGGTGCACAGGGGGTGAGCTCTGGGGGACCCACTTGTGCCTCAGTGAAGAGGACTCCCACCCTCAGGCCATGTTCCTTTCTTCTTACTCTCCTCTGTGACTCTGTCCAGAAAAAAAATTGCTTGAAATTTGGAAAAAGGCAGAGGGAGATTAGCAGAGCTTCCACCACCATTCTGGAACATTGCTCAACAGGCCTACTGCTGGTGATGGAGTTATCTAGGGAATGCACCTCTGTTTGACTTGGTCTTTGTTATTTAAGGCAAGACTCGAAAATTACCGTTAACTTGTGGAGCTTTTTGTCCAAGGGAGATGCCAGTGATTTCTGTGCAACAGAAAAGATCTCCCCAGATGCTGTGATTTTTCAGGAAGTGAACCAGTTATGTAACTGACCTGGGATTTCCCCTCATGCCCAATAACCACGATTCCTCCAGTTCTCCTCCAGCCAGCATCGCCTGTTGCTGGTTCTCTCTTTACAGAATTGAGGAAATCAGACGCTCCTGTATTTGTAAGTGGTCTACGTTTGTAACTTTCTGAAAATTACCCTATTGCAGTCTCCATGTGAATCCCCCAAGTTCCCCACACTCCGGGGCATCGGGTTTGTCCGATGGGTTCAGGACCTGTTGCGCTCCCTCCCTCTGCCCCGTCCCTTGTCAGGTCCCTGCAGGGAGACTGAGGCATGCCTCCTCAGAGGCCTACACTCGCTATAGAGGGGACAGGGGTGAAGGGTGCAAGTGATACACAGAAAAATACCCAATGGCCAAGAGATGCCTTTGATGGACATGCACGTTGGCCCCTTATGTAGGGGCTTGGCAACTGCAGGGCCACCTGGGAGTCAGCTGGGGTCCAGAGAAGGCGACTCTGAGAACGTCCTATTTGTATCCTGCCCAGGGAAGAGAGCAAGTGCTCAGACTCTGATGATGGCCACCCATTGCCAGATGGGAACTTTTCAGTCATGAACTTATGATGCCTGAAGGCAATAAAATGAGCAACATGTCCCCGGAGCAATCATTGTTCCTTTTTTCTGGTTCCAAACTCCTTCAGATTCCTTGTTTTTAATAACACACCTGCATCCTCAAATACAGAGACATTCTGAGTGAGCCACTGGGGGCACCCTCTGTGTGGACACGCTGGCTTTCTGCTTTGCTAACCATATTGCTGGAGGCTTTGTCACCTACACTATGCTGTACCTTGACCACCCAGGTGAAGCTGATAAAACTCCAAATCTGACAATCTGACAGTTCAAGACTCAGTGAGTGAGTCCTGTTCCAGAAGTAAGGTGACAGAACCTCAGGGCATGGAGGTAAAAGCCACACCTGCTTGTGGAATTCTGCCTTGACTTCCAATGTGGGTGAAACCAACTCTACTGGTGTAGC